TTTTATTTTTTTTTTTTTTTTTTTTTTTTTTTCATAACAACGGAAAGGCAAAAGGAGTAAGGGAAGAAAAGGAGATAAAAAAAAAGTACCATCGGAAATATTTGTTGTCCGTTAAAATTGGTTTCTCACGGTCTCATACGTTGACACGGTGGGGGACGCGTAAGTCAGCAGTCACGTGTCAAAGGCTAATGGTGGGAAGGGGAGGAGGAGGGAGGTAGGTGTGACGAATATTTTCAAAATTTCACTCCCACCTCAAAAACCCCCTTACACGACTAGGCTCTAGGTTTACTCTTGAAAAAAGAAAAAAAAAAAAAAATACGATTCAGGATTATTTATCGTGTTAACTCTATCGAGAAAATCGCCATTTCGCTTAGTTCGATAAACACGGCCGGGTAGAAGAGAATCGGCCGAGGCTACCAACGCCATTTTCCTACGACGTTATTTTTTTCTTCTCTCTCTCTCTATATATATATATATCAATGTATATATATATATATATATATGCTCCCATTTCTTTCCCTCGTATAATGCTATCGATACTTTGCGCCTAACATCCTCGACCGGTAACGCCATTCGTGCCCTGAATATAATAAACTACTACGAACAATATCCCGCGGGTCCATTTATCCTACCAACAAGCACAAAAAACGGATCCGATGAGCGTTGCATAAATTTCGTCTGAGGGGCCTCTGCCTATTCCGGCATTTTAATCTTTTCTCCCCCATTCGCTTGGCATACTTTCAAGATTATAACCGATAACGTCTAACCCTATCGCAGTAACGTTAACAAACGGTAAATGCATGCAGCGCTACAAGATCTATCCCTAGCTCTCTAGACGTTTACTTCGAAACGCCAGTGACGTCACGTCGCCAATACGTCATCCCTGATCTTTCAAACGTCCTCTACACTCTTCTCGCTCGCCGCACTCACCCGGGGGACACCAGCTGATTATTCCATGGAAAGTCCCATAAAGCCATTGGGACTGATTCTGTACAATACTAAGAGTCCAAGAACTGATCTTGCTTACACGACTCTTGCCATCGTCTTTTATCAATGTCTTCCGCCCCCGTCTCCTCGCGGATGGCTTCTATAGAATAATCAGCTTCGCCACCAGGTCCAAAACTCCTTGTTCGACCGACGAGCCGGGCATTAACGAGGCTTCCCGACAACGAAGTCCCGTTTTATTTCCTACGTTTTTCGAACCAGTTGCCTAATGCGTATTTCAATTTTTTTTTTTACGTTTCAAAGTAGCGTTGTGGTGTGTGTGTGTGTGTGTGTGTGTGTGTCTGATTGCATAATATAATTTTTGATAAATTATTTACCGCACATGTATACGTAAACAATTACCGTATATACATATACGTAAGGTGTAGTAGTCAGGGCGTGAGAGGAGACTGTATTTTTTTCATATTAACGTGTCGTGTTTATAAAACCTGCGTAGGCTGCTGCGCCGGTGTCGGGACAGGACCAGCAGCTGATGCGGGTGGCCCGATGGGCCCGAGATCTCCAGCTCCGCTCGATGTCCCAGCTGGCGTCGCGACGCCCATCGCCGATGCTGTTTTCATGAAGAACTTCTCCAGCTTCACTATTATGTGCTTGCCGTAGGTATATTTGCGCAGGCTCGTCAGGTGAGGTCGTATCTTGTGCATGAGCACCTTGCGCTGGGCTGGCTCCGCCACGTCTATCATCTTCTGCACCACGTAGTTGGCGTACTGATCCTTCATCATGACGTTCAGTGCGCTGAGCAGAAGAACCGATACAGGCGTTAGATTAATTTCAATTATTTTTGTACAAATAAGATTGTTCCGATCCGAAAGTAAATTTGTTACTTTACCTTGACATTAAGTAATTACATTATTCCGTGAAAATTTTTCAAATATCAAAACCAACTCACTTGTCATTGAAGCCGCAAACTTCCTCGATCAGGACGGCTCGTTCCTGCCTCGTAGCGTGCGTCACGCATTTCTCCACCACGTTGCTTGCAAACTTGTGCTGCGAAAGGGCAAGCACCTTGCCTCTGACACTGCTGATCAACTGAGCCTTGTCCTCGGGTTTACCGTGCTCTGTTAGAACAGTATGAATTCGGCTATAGTATGAGGTAGGGTGACGGGGTTGTTATACATGTATAATAATTAGGTGACTGGGGAGCCGGGGGGGATAAGGGGTGGGTGGGTAGGTATAGTGCTCACCAAGTACGTGCTGAATTACGTAGTTGCCATATTGATCCTGAATAAGCTGATCCGTCGCTGTATGAAGTTCCTGTAATATTCCCTGAGTCTGCTCTGGGGTGCAATGTTCCAGTATACGCTGGATTACTCGACACCCGTAAGGATGGGTACTCAGGGAATATACCTGACCGGCGAATGCACCGATGACGAATTGTAACGCTCTAGGCTCTACGCATTCAATACATTTCTGAACCACGTGGTTGCCATTCTGATCCTTGACACACTTCAGCACGTGTCCATCGAGCTCCCTCACGATCTCCTGCTGCTGTTCCGGCCCGATAGATTCCAGGGCCTTCTGGATTACCCGGCAGCCGTACATCTGCAGGGCTAGTGGAAGAACGTGTCCGCGAACCTGCGAGCGAGAAAGTAGATAATACTTAGTAACGTAAAAGAGAAACAGTCCCGAATGCTGGAGAGAAGAAATTTTTTCAGTGCTAATAGAACGCTAATCACAAAAGTCAGCTGACACGCATGATTATCATCATGTATTCTAGAATGAACTATGGTAGCATGATTTTGTGATGTGACGTGTACCTTTTGGGCCAAGGTAGATTTCTGCTCAGGTGTACCAAACTCGAAGAATTTCTGTATAACGTAATTTCCAAACACGTCTGTCATGAGATTGTAAGCCGAAGCAAGTATTTCTTGAAAGACCAATTGTTTCTCGCTGGTCGAGGCACGCTCTAGTTTCTGCTGAATGAATCGGGAGCCATGTTGATCCTGGCTGAACTCGACGATGTGATTGGCAAGATCACGTAGTTGAAGACTGGGGAATCTGTCAAAGAAAAAAAAATTAAGAATAAATATCCGTGCTATTGATTCTTCTATATTAAGGTTTCACGGATAAAGGATGTACCGATTGTTTCTAAAGTCTTCCAGTAGACGTGATCTTCCTCCTGCACCCTTGTCACCGACTCCGCCAGCAGCTCCTCCGCGTGCAGGTTTACCCACCAGATTCGGGAACAAGGAAGTACTTGAACCAAAGACTCCATTAGCTGTCAGTGGCGGTACGGCGCTCGCCCTGAACTTTGCTTCTGCCCCAGGTGCAGCTGATACACGGTTTGCACCGCCAACCAGACCGCCCAGTGAACCGCCAAGAGTCGGCGGAGGTGTCAAGGAGAGTCCCAGAGGACTGGGAGAAGCTGTCACTGTACCTATGAAAATGATAATTCTCTCGTTACACTGAGTATATGCGTATAAAATTTTAATAAGGTCATACACTATATACGTTCCAGGTATCTCATGAAACCTACAGTGTGTTCCCGGAATGACAAGCAATTCAAAGGCTGGATTTAATATATAAGCAAGAGTCTATTTCTCGAGAAGAGTAATGACTGGTAACATTGCAAAACGACCTGACAATTCATTACAAGACGTTTCGGATGATTAAGCGTGCTTCCTCGCATTAAACGACGCACCAAGCGGACGAAGCAACAACTAAAGTCCTACGAACGGCGTTCAGACAATTAAGAAATTTGACAAGCACATCCAAACTGGATATCCCTGTAGAACTAAGCATGAGTCGTCGCATACCAGTTGTCCTTGCCACGCTTACCGAGAACACGGCGAAGGACACGTAGCCGTTCTAAGTACACGTCCTGAATAAATTCCCAGGCACACTCGACAATCTCACTTATAAAGGCATCAGCGGCGATGCTTACCTAGAGCTCCGTAGCTCTGCGGCCACTTGGCCCTGCTGTATTCTAAGCTGGGACTGAAGGCTGAGGTGTTCCTGTCGAAAGAGTCTCTTCTCCCAGTGGATGAAGCGCCCAAGCCAAGACCTGCGATCAGAGAAGAATCAATTGCAATTGCGATAAGGATCGATGAGCGAACCTTGGGAACGAGAGGCATTTTAAAAAAAAAGAATGACCAAGATATACAAGAGAGGAAAAAAAAAGAAAACATAATAACGATTCGCACGCTTGGTACAGACTAGGCATTCAGAGAGTTATTATTCATAGAAAAGCATGCGTGAATGATACAGAGGATGGTACAAGGTGTACAATAAACAAGGTGTCTCCTGGTTGCTGGCTGAAGCCGGATCGTTCAGCAAACTGGCCCTGCTTTGTGTTCCCTGGTTTTTATAATCAGACTCGGGGGACCCGGATAGGACCTCAGGGATAAGGAACGGGAAGAGGTGTACCTGTGCTCTGTAGCTGGGCCGGCGAACCTAGTGCCCCTAGAGGCGAGCCTCCGTAGCCCAGGGCAGCCAAACCTGCTGCCAGTCCTGATCCCTGTTGCTGAGCCTGCTGCACAGCAACCGCCTGAGCCTGTGCAACCACTGCCGCTGCACTGCACGCCGCCAGACCTGCACCGAAAGCCCGCAACCCACACACGTACTTAGTATTTGGGTTCGATTAGCAGCTGGTTACGAGAGCCTTACACCAAATTATGCGGTCTAATAATATATATATAATGTCCAGCCGCTCTCCTCTCTTTCTCTCCTTATAGCAACAGCTGCGAAGGAGACACGCGCGAGCACATTCACATTCTTATAGACTGATCCATGTACGTATATACAGGCTGTTCCGAAACTACCTGACCCGGTGGGTATCGCGGTGTTCGGGAGGCTTCACTGATCACGAAAATGACCTTTTTGTCTGGAAGGTCATAGTTTTTAAATGGGAGCAGGTCAAAGTTGACCAATCAGATGGAGACGTCAAGAGAAAACGTAGGCACCTACGGGCTCTGAGTTTTCTTCTCTGGCTTTGTTTCTCGGTGGCTTGTTTCTTGTTTCCAATAGGCATGTCTTCGGCTGACGTCATCCTGCCGGAAGCCACCGAGAAAGAAAAGCGAGGGAAGAAAACTCAGAGTTCGCAGGTGCCTACGTTTCTCTTGACGCCTCCCTCTGATTGGTCAACTTTGACCTGCTCCCATTTAAAAACTATGACCTTTCGGACAAAAAGGTCATTTTCGTGATCAGTGAAGCCTCCCGAACACCGCCATACCCAACGGGTCAGGTAGTTTCGGAACACCCTGTATATATACTATACATACTGCATATGTAAATATTTATAGATCAATACATATATAGGTAAACAGATTATGGACAGATTAGATGTATGGAGAACGGATACATACATGGTAAACGTGGGATAAATTCCTTATTCAGTGTTTTAGTCACAAGGTTAAAAAAAAATGCATGAGGTCTGATGAGAAGAGATTATTCTATGTATGTACAAAGGGTTGTCGAATTAACGAATAGAGATATAAAACACAGTTGCTAGGAGACTGGTACCAGATGATATCAGAGTACGACAGCAACGTGTCACCGGAAGATGATCTTCCGGTACATCCGGTCAGACTTACCTAGACATTCGCCAGGTGTGGCGTTACTGTGAGACGTTGGGGTTGGTTGTGAGTAGAGACTGGGTGGTGGAGGTGCCGGTGGTCCTGGGGGTGGTTGCGAAGGTGCCCTATTCACCAGAACAGGTGCTGGACTCACCAACCTCATTGGGGTCGCTGCTGATCCCAACCCACGTACACCACCCATCACTATTGAACCATTTTGATCGTAGTATGCTGGTATGACCTGGTACTGACCCTGAACCTGGATGCAAGAAACAAACAAAAATTGACAACTATCCTCCAAGAACGAAAATCACATATAACCACCAGTTCCAAGTGAACTTCCGGTACGTACAGTCTGTGCCAAGTTATTAGCAGTGTCCTGAGCAGCGGCAGCTGCGGCTGCAGCCGAAGACGGTGTCAGGGGTCTCCTAGGAGGTGGCGGTGCTGCAGCCTGTGGCGGTGCCTGAGGCAGCAGCCCGGCCGGATATACCCAAGGACCGACCCCATAGTACTGAGGAACGACCGGTGGCGCTCCGGTTATCAGAGCACCCACGTATGGTTCCTGTCCGCTGATAACGGTGTAGGGCGCAGTGGGAAAGTTCTGCTGTTGTTGCTGTTGCTGTTGGGCCTGAGAGGCTGCCAGATACTGTTGCTGCTGTTGCTGCTGCTGCTGCTGTAGCAGCTGAAGTTGCTGCGGCGTCGCACCTTGTGGCTGACTGCGAAACAGTTGCTGAAACAATACGAGGACAAACTTTAGTCACTTTCGCAGCATCCCCATAACAGAAAACAACCTCACTTCGACGGTCCAACCCGAAACTTCAATATCAAAAATCAAAATCGATCCCAAACTCTTTCCACGAAAAACCAGGATAACCAGGGTAGAGACAAAAAGCTTCGCTCGACTTGGCCGCAAGGTGTTCGGGTCGTCGAACCCCCCACGTAGGACGTTCACCGTAGAGTCCAAAGCGTTAGCCTCAGTCTCTACCTTACCGACCGGTCGCGTCTCATACAACAGAGTCCAGACTTTAATTGACCGTCAACCCGTAGCCACGGTTTGGCGCGTACCAACTACGTGATTCAAAATGCACGGTCAATTCCTGAGCTCATGGCCGCGGGTTACGCATCAGGTACAAAGAGTCTACAGTTAAGTCATACACCATGCTATAACCAGGTACCCTATCTCTCTCCCTCTCATTAAATCAAGAATCAGATCAGATAAGTATCGAAGCATACAATAACCAACCGACACGAGATCTCAGTGTCTCCGTAAGTAAAATCAAAAGCAATCAGGAAGGCGAATACCGGAAGTGGTACCAACAGTATAAAATATTTTTATACGCTAATTAAACGTACAAGTGAACACGGGTTAGAATCCCAATGGCGGTTAATGAACTCGATTCTGTACTGGGGATAGAGAGAGAGAAAGAGAGAGGTTGACGAGAGAGAACAATGCTCGGAGGACTTTTTAAGCCACCTGGTCTTCAACCGTAGAAAGACCTTCGACCTTGAGCGCGGTCAAGAGCATTAAGGAAACCATTGTTCTGTTACGCGAAGCGTACTACTCTTTCTAGCCCTCTTTATACGAGTATAGAGTTCGCTCTACGATGATCATAGAGTTACATTGTACGGAGTATAGCTATACCCGTGTAAACAACCGACAGTCTGGTTCAAGGATACACAAAGTAACGCGTATAGATATATATTAAATACGAATGGGTATATCGGCAAGGCGGATTTTTAATTTGCGACAATTTTTCATCCTACACAATTTTTGGTAGTTCACGGTATGGCCGCGGATTACTGAAACGTCGCGCAACGTCCAACGCTTTTTACACCATCCGTTCCACTTGTCGCTCCTTGAGTTTTAGTTTTTTTTTTCTTTTCTTTTCCCTGATATTATATTGGATTCTCTCTCTCCGTGACATCACTTTATTCGTATGTCCGTCTCTCTCAATCTTTCTCCACTGCCAGATACACGTCTATCGTCACGTCGTTTCTCCGTTAGAAAGTTTTGCGGCTCCCGACGGTTTCCCTTGTGTCGCAACTAGCCGCAACTTGTGACTATTGTTTGTCGTCTTTTTGGTTTTTTTTTTTTTTTTTTTTTTTTTTTTTTTTCCAGGGTTGAAGCCAGGAGACGCCGGCTCGGGTAGATCGACAGAGGCAATACCGGAAGCGAAGTTCCGTGAAACAAAAGTATTTTCTAGGGAAACGAAGAGGATGAAGAAATCTTTGAAAAAAAAGAAAAAAAAAATCAATGTACGGAGAATCGAATGAGCACCTCGGGATTGGTCAGAAAGGTTAGCAGGAGGGGAGGTCAGGGGGTTCCTGGAAGACTGTACAGGCTGAGTCATTGCAGTACGTAAGGCTTCCGTTGGCGATTTAAATCCGCCAGGTCGTATAGCGGAAGAATCAATTTTCATTGGTCGGTCAAGAAGGTTCCATCGGTAACGACCAATCGGATTCGTTTGTCACTTCTAACCTCTCTCGCAGTCTGCTGTTATTCTGGTGGTTTAAAATTACGTAGGGTGATTACGTCACTTTTCTACCGACGGTAAATCGTGTAGGTTACAGAATACATCGCTTCGATTGGCTCTGTCCTTGTCCTATACCTATGCGATCGTAAGATTAATCGATCCGTGATCGACGAAGAGAGATCTTTCAGATTGTTTCAGCATCCACTCTCCCGATACCGACACTCCGTGTCGTTGGCGTCTCCACTTGCCTAATTGCGGACAGCCTCACGAAGTGTCTACGAGAAAGCTGAAAATTGCCGTGCGATTTCCAGCTGGCTGATCGCGGCTGCCCAGAGGCGTAACTAGGGGGGGCACTGACAATACGAAGTAAAAAGGGAAAAAAAGAAGATCCCCCCCGAGCTCCGACCAATCCAAATAAGACGAATAGCACATTTAACGAAGGATCAGATAAAATTTGAAAATCATGAGAAAAATTGAATTTTTTGTGAAAAAAAAAAAAAAATTTTATGTACCACGATAGCGCGTGATAACAGCAAAAGAACGTTCTCGTGAAATTTCCAAGTTGAACGAGTAGCCACATCGATGGTCCGGGGCCCAGTCGTTGGTATAAGGCCCAAAAAGAGATCAGTCAAAAAAAAAAATAAATGGCCACTATAAAATACAAGCTTACGAGGTAACACATAAAGGTATTTTCTAAATTACCTGAGGCCCCTTCTAGAGTGGCCGGCCATTTTGAAAGTAATCCCGCGTCCCTGGGCCTTACCGTGCACGCCTCGACGTGCAACTATCAGGCCCCTACCGCGGGCGAGCCGTGATCTCAGAGAATGGTTACATGCCGGTAAGAGCGTACACTCGGACTTAGGAAGGAAGACAAGTCCCAATCTGGACACGAGAGACGTCGACTACGAGGATGCTTTTTGGGGCCTGAAATCACGTACGCGGGGGGCCCCCGTCGGTCTTAATGGGGCCTCCCGAGACGCGACAAAAAGAGAAGCCAAACGTAAACACGTAAGACGTAAAAGAAAGAACCCGAGAAAGGAACAGTGCGCCAAGAAGAAAGCCCGTTACTTAACCGCGTCCGAGGACCGTTAGCTCACCTGGCTGGTTGACTGGCTGAGCCGGGACGACTGGCTGGTGGACTGTGGCTCGGCTGTGCTCCTTGCGTGCACGGAATATATAGGCTGTATCAAAAGTCCATTGGAAACGGTATAGCGACCCGAAAGAGTTTACAGCCAGTAGAGAAAATCGGCGACTCCGATACTTAATGAGGAAGTACGTGAATACCTCTTACTCTGCTGGTTTACTGCTCAAAAATACAATCTACGGACACCGAGAGTCCCGAAGTTCTCTGTATGCTCGTGTAGAAATTTCGGAGAGAAGGAAGAAAAAAAAGAAAAATGGCCGACGATCTACTTTTATAATACCACAACACATACTGGTACCTACTTTCTACCTAGACCATGTATATTCAAGCTCTCCGAGCACCGCGCACGAGATATTCAGTGTCCGCCGTTTACTTTTGGCTCCGGCATTTAAAGAGCATTAACCATACGTTATTGTATACGCCATATTGAAAACCGGTTATCGACGCTTAAACGTCCGAGCCACCAAGGACCCCGTGTCGAACTCTACATTGTGTACGGGGGGC